CGGTGCTATAGTCGTCTTTGTCGGTGCTATAGTCGTCTTTGTCGGTGCTATAGTCGTCTTTGTCGGTGTTATCGTCTTTATCGATGCTATCGTCGTCCGTATTGATGCTGTCGTCTTTATCGATATTTATATAATTACTTCCGTAATGGTATACACTCATTCGTCAGTACATCGACTCCGTCTTTATATCCTTATCATCGTAGACGCCCTTATGGATTCTACCATCAATCGTATCGATATTCACATAGTTTTCTCAGCATCATCGTATCAGGGGACAGGCGCCTTCGTAAGAAATTACCGCCACATGTGAGCAGGTTCTCCGCCTCGTGTCTTCGTTACCTCATATTCATTTTCCACTTCTCACATTCCATTGCGAGATTTAGTTAGATTTATTTAGCTAAAAAGATCCCTATGTGACGTATGGGGGAGAAGATTAACTTGCTCTTATCATTCTCGTCGCCTTTGTTGTCGTAGTCATCGTTCACGACGTTGTCGTCAACATCGGTATTCGCCACATTCTTGTCGTACTCTTCCTCAATGTTATTGTTGGTCTCACTACCATAGGCGTTCTCTTTCAACATTATCATCGTCGACAACCTAAACTCTATTGTATTCATTCTAATCTTTCTCCCCGCCTTCGTCGCCGTGGGTCGTTACCCTGACGGTGCCCCAAGTGCTGAGTGGTGTTGTGCACTTTGTCATTATGAAGCCATGAATGATTCATATGAAGTAATGCCGATTTAATTAGATGTTCGCAACTTCAGTCTCGTCAGGATAATTTCACTTTAAACTTACCTCCCAGGTTGTGCTATTAGTTTCACTTTCGTCTTTATCCGTATGTCTGATTTCACACTGTAGCGTAATGTCAAAGTGAGAGTGGCTTTTCGTTATTTAACTTGTATGTGTTAAATTATAACGCGAGTATTGTCTTGAGCATCAAAAGAAGCCTATTCTATCTTCTGTCTGTATACCTTGAATTTAATTTTTACATAATATCAAGCCACTCTTCGAATCTTGAGTCAGGTTGCGGAGTAGGGGTCCAGAAGAACTAAATCCCTAAGGGCGCATAGTTTCAGAGTTATGCACGAGTTTGCGTTGTGTTGCAGTAATCTTACTTGCAAGCATCTGTCAGCTTAAATTTTTTCGTCTTAAACCTGTTAGGAAGTAATTCCATGGCACGGAGCAGCACTTTTCCAGTGGTTTATTTTATTTATTTATTTATTTTAAAACCAGTCATCCATTTTTAGCGTATTACAAATGGAAGGGATTACATTATTAAGACACATGTTAATAAAGTCTTCCTTTACTCCCTTGTATCTAAAAAAAATGATTTAGATGAATTCTTAGACTTTGTGTGTGTGAGGATTAAATTGAAATTTTGCGTTTTGGAATTTTTTCTCGTCCTTTTTAGAATTCGAAAAGCATTCCGTTGTTAGCGCTGCTGATTCTGACGAGACCAGTCCTCCGTTGCCCTGTACGGGGGAGGGGGGAAGTAATCGGAGCCGAGAGCCAGGAGGCCCTGCCTTGCTCGGCCACCTGGGAATCCTCCCCTCCCTCCTTCTCCTCCTCCTCCCCCTCCCCCTCCCCCTGCGCTAGGAATAGCTCTCCCCCTCCCACCTCACCGGCCGCTCAGCTGCTATGTCTCAGGCGATCTCGGCGGTATGTCAAGCAGGGCAGGTATGCAGTGCGACCTTTTTTTGTTTCTTCTTCTTATTCTTCTTGTGGAAAATCAAGAGGAAATCGCACGACAAACAAAGCGTGGAAAATGCACGAAGGCAAAACGATCTGTGGATTTGAAAATGGTGTGGCAGGATCTAACCCGGCGCAACGATGGTTGAATATTAGATTTCCACGTGGCAGAGCTGATCATCGGCTAATTCATGGGCGGCTGTTCACCTAATAAATAGAGACGTGAATGAAGACAAAGACCCTCACTGTTGTTGCTTATTACAGAAGCAACTATTTGCGCGCAGATAATTTTTTTTTTTAAGTGTCGAACTACTGAATAATTTATTTTACGAATTAGAAATGTTAACAAATAATAATTAAATAATATTTTCTATTAGTTTTATCTAATAATCAGTGGTAAATTACAAAATACAGAGGTGCCAACAACTACGGATTGACCAACTTCACCGATTTCGCCTCACCATTACGTAATTGGGGTTCAAGGAAATTGTACGAACACAGGAAGTGCGTGTTCGAAAGTTAGTCTTAATGTTTCTTCTTGCTAGAGTTTTTGGAGGGTCGTGATATCCCTCAACGAAGGTCGGTTCCTTCATTTGTTCTCTTCCCGCTTTTCAACCCCGTATGGCAACGCCCCCTGTGGGAAAATGGCATATTCCAATCTCCCCCTCCCAGAAACGGTCACTTTCGCCGGGTGTATGTAAATCAACCCCTTTCCTCGTGTCGGGTCACCTGGCTTTGTTTTGTTCCTTGTACCGGCAGCCCTCTCAAAATTCTTTTCGGCTTGTGAGCAGGGTCTGTATTGGGGTGTAGATCGCATTCCTATTGTGAAAGTTCCTTTCCTTAGGTGTTGTACGCGTATAACGTAGATCTGGTGCTGTTGAGATACGTAATCGATCAGAAAATACGTACGTGTGTTGTCTGATGTTGACTTGGCGTTATCGGAAATCTCAAAAAAATTTAATAGTTTGGAAAACTCTATTTCTCTATAATTTTTTTTTTCTTTATTCCAGTCCCACGGAATCTTATACTATTAAATCTATGTAATGCCCTACTCTTTTCTAAGCTTTCGGAACTTATTTAATTATATATTTACTAGGTGATGAACTTACAGTTGCCCATTTATAACAAGTGAATTAGACACGTGATTAGATAAAGGAATTAATCTATTGTGTAAGATGGGAATCATTTTATTTACCTCCCCACTCCGTCGTGCCAAGGATATGTGCACTGTGAGTTGCATACTTTTCTTAACATGGGTGTGTATATATTTGTGGACAATGATGTTAACTCTATCGCCATATGGTTTGTTGTTATTCAGGAAAATCTTTTGGGATAAACTGCGAAAGCCGTTTTGAAATCCACTCAGTACTTGCAATGTTCATAGAGGATAATCAAAACATTTGATGCGATCCGGAACTTGTATGTTCTAAATTTGTGTAGATTGTAATAGGTGACAATAGAGCAGTGCTCCGGTACCTGTGATACTCCGTTCAATGAATTGCACTCGTCCGGAAAGAGGGACGAAATCGGAGGGAGGTATGTGGCAACATCTCGATTACCGTTGGTAAAAATGAATCTACGAACGAAATGTTCGGCACTTTTGACACCGCCAAACCGTGTGTACTCAGCGTAGACTCGAAACTGTTGTTCCTGAACCACGCCCTCATACGTGTCAAATGTAACCTTTGATCAAAGCAAGGCCTTGCGATACGTATACACTCGCCCCTCCAGTTCTTCCTGTCAGCCCAGGTGTCGTGCCTTCGACCTCAGCCTTCAGTCTCTGTCCTCCCGTGCCTCGTTAACTGTCTCCTGTCGCGCGACTAGTACTTGGAGTATCGATAGTATTTTTGTTTTCGATATTCTCAGTATTTAATCGGTCAATAATATTGAATGGATAACATCGTAGTTTCCGTACCGAAGCGGCAGAATTGATGTTCAAGAAAGTAGGTGGAGGAATTGTAATATACAAATTGTTTCAATCGTAATTCAAGCACATGTTTCTCTTTTGAATCTAATATTGACTCACAGTGAAACACTTGAATTCCGATTTGTTAAATTAATAAAATATAAGATATTTATACAAAATTACACGAGTTAAAGAGCTTGAGAACATCCATCTGTTTGAAAGTGTTAATATCTAGATTTGGATGAAAGTATGTCTGATCTTGTTACTGCCCCAAGCTCTTCATAAACATGGACATTTATAGTAACAAAATAAGTATCACTCACCAATATCGAAATATCATCAAGGAATATTAGGAGGCTTGCTGCTGCCCATCGTTTTATTACCTCGAGCCCTACAATTATAAGCATACATAATAGTACATCAAAAAATGAGAACAAGGAGCACTTCATGATATTCGAATTGGTGCATCGATACTTGAAATTCGATAATACATATGCATTACTTTGATATTTCTTTCTGTTATCGTAAAGATTCAAAAAGCCGAAATAATATTTTTTTTTTAATCGATATTGGTAGTATATCGGGAGATAAATTTGGGAGCCGAAATTCAAAAGGTTTCGGTCGAATGTGTCATATTACAGATTTTGTAAAATGGCGCAGGCTACACTCAGCTCATGCTGCGATAAGATTTTTAGTATTTTAATGATTATCCAAACCTATTTTTGGTGGAAAGTTTCGTGACAAGTTAAAAATTAATAGTTACTGAACAGGTTTAGGGAGGGGGTCCCTTTTTTCCCTCCCAGTGGATCCGCGCCTCTCGTTCAATATTTAGGATCCGAATGGGTGCATCGGTATCGAATATCGTGTTCTTTCACTTGTCGCTCAATCCGTGTTATACCCGTGAGTTCCTTCCTGGCCGCGGGCTGGCCTCTGCGGCTGTCGACCGGTTCGTTTCCTCGAACGTCGCTGCAAAGGCTTTTTTTTTCTCTCTCTCTCACTCTCTTTTTTTCGTGCGGCGGCCGTGGAGAGGGAGAGCGGGTGGTGGGTGGTGGAGTGGCCGAAATGCCCGAGGGGGGGGGAGGCAGTCACAGGCTGAAAACTCTGGACACAGACGGCGCCCCCCTCCCCCCGCCGCGCTCCTCCCTCCGCAGCGGAGAGAGCGACGCGCGCCTCATAGAAGGTGGGGAGGAGGGAGGGAAAGGGGGCGGCAAGTGAAGGGAAGCGGCGAGCGAGCGAGCGCTGCGGCCTTGCCAGCTATGCGGCTATCGCGCCCGCCCGCCCCGCCCCGCCATACCCGTTCCGCTCCACACCGCCCGCTCACCCGCCCGCTCCACCCGCCCCGCTCCACCCCGCCCCGCTCCACCCCGCCCCGCTCCACGCCGCCCCGCTCCACCCCGCTCCGCCAAACTCCGCTCCTCGGCACTCAGGAGGGGTGGCCCTTTTCGGCACTAGCCGTTACGTCGAATTCAGTTTCTGTCTGGAGGGGGGGAATTCTAGCGGCCGGCTGCTCTGGTCGGTAGTTCTATGTGCTTTCTCCGATCAATAGGCGAATGCCGGAGGATTAACCACCTAACGCGTGATCTTTCCTTCCTCTTCCTTGCGAGTAGCGAGCAACCGCTCGCCGAATCCCGAGTAGTGTGGATGCGCTGCTTGCTCGCCGAGCGACTAACATTCGGCGCTCGACCCACCCACCGCGTGTCGGTCTTTAGGGCACATCAAAGGGAGCGAACATTCGCCGAACACATCAGCTGTTCGGGATTGGGCGAGCTGTTGCTCGGTGCTCGGCGAATGCAGAACGTGTGGAGCCGCCTTTACGTACAGACACACGTGCACCCTCACAGGGGACCACGGCTGGGGCGGTGCCTCGCGCGGGAGAGGAGATACTTTGAAGGGGGACTCCCCAAGATGACGTGTACGTCGGGTAGGCGCCGGGATAAAACATGCACTGCACTTGAGAGTTAGCTGCCGTTCACGCGTCCGTAAACACCAAACAACGAACCGACCTCAGCCACCATCGACTGCATTTCTGCCCCTTACCTCGAATTTGTATCCAAGTGGACAGGGCAGAGGCGTATGGTAGACATGGCACGTGCCATACACACCCTTCAAAGTATCCCCGCTAAAACAAATAACAACCCTAATTCGAAGTAAATTCTACGCACTTTTATACCTAACCGCCTCTGGGTCAGGGTTACGGGCAAAGGCTTTAAAGATGCATGCAACCACGACCACAAATCCTGTTGTAGAACGTCAGAAACCGAAGGGTTTCATTCTTTACAGGTTTACCTGCCTGACTGTCGCCACATACGCTCTTGTTGCCTAGACGAGTAAAACGGAACGTATCACGTAACTTGACACGAATCCTCTGCGCGAGTCCCTTTTCCAAAACAACGCTACGGCCTGACAAATAACCGACTCCGATTCCGACCCAGACGTAGATGTTTTGACTTGCCTTTAGTATGATACTTGAGGGTTAGAACCTCCTTTCTGCTCATGCTTTTGCAATATCAATGGAGCGATGCCCTAACGCAATACAAAGTTGCATAAAAATTATGTCTGAGACTAAAATTAGTAAAACTTTATCGAGAGAGGTAACACTATAAAGTAACCGAAAAATCAAGCACCTAAATATACTCGTCAAACCCACGTAAAATATCCTGGTATGAATGACAAAAAATGTGAGAAAGTGTGTTCGAAGGCTATAATGAATGAGATTTGCACGCTGTATTGGTTGCATGTAATTAATGAGAGCCACATTATTATTATTATTATTATTATTATTATTATTATTATTATTATTATTATTATTATTTGACATTTTCCTGAAGGCCCTTGATTGAAATTATAAATTGAATTTAGATCTAACTTCTTCAGATACTAAACGAATTTCATTAATTTTTTTTAATGTTAAAATTTAGATTTCACTGCGAGGAACAGCAATGTAAAACAACACGAAGGCATTCCTGGTTACTTGACTGCGACGCGAGCGTTAAGCACTCACGAAATGCAATGAAACAAAACAACTTAGCAGACTGGTGTCGTAATTGGCATATGTTCATTTTATTATATTAATTAGGATGGCCACTTTCTGGAAAACATGTAAAGGAAGGCCAGGGAAAGTCGGGGGAGCATCAGAAAATTCGTGAAAGAATGATTAGAAGAAAACAGAGAGCTGATACATTAGTTTCGGGCTTGTTTTAACATTTTCTTTAAATAGTATGAAATGCTCTACAAATAGAATCAGTGACATTTCTTTTTTAAATGCAATAGAGTAGCGGGAAAAGTCGGGGAAATTTGTGGCCACACTGTTAGTAATATAAAAAGAATATCTACAATATTGTGTATATTATTATTACACGGCCGGATCTAGAGACAAATTTTGAGAGGGGAAATTCAGAATGAAATTCAGAATGGTGGAATGTGTCATATTACAGATTTTGTAAAATGTCTCAGGCTACACTCAGCTCATGCTACGATACGATTTTATTCGTTTTAATGATTATCCAAAAATATTTTTGCTTGAAAGTTTTGTGACAAGTTAAAATCAATATTTACTGAAAAATTATAGTAGGGGGGGGGTTTCCTAATCTCCCTCCCCGTGGATCTGCACCTACTATTAATAGTCTGTGATACTCTAAGAGAGGCGAGTAGTGCGATGTACTCTCCCAATCTAATTAGTAAACTTTTTTTATTTTATTTTAAATGCTGTGGAAAAGAGACGGAAATGTGTTTCAGATAACGAATGGTTCCCCTGTTAGTATTGTAGACGTTCTTGTTCTGTTAATGCAGTGCATTGTTATTATTAACGTCGTGCGCTGGCGTCTGCGAGAGCGGGGTGTGTGACGAGCGGTGTTGTCTGGCGTGCGCAGGCGCGGCCGGGCGTCGGGCAACCGCAGGCAGAGGCGGCGGCGGCGGCGGCGCGGCCGCCATGAAGGCCGAGGAGGCGGCGGCGGCGGCGGCGGGGCTGGCGCTGGGCGAGGGCGAGTGCGAGGGCGATGACGGGGTGGGCGTGCTGGCGCCCTGCCCGCCCGTCAAGATGCGCCCCACCATGATCTCCGCCAAGTACAGGCTCAAGGAGGAGAGGCGAAAGGTGAGCGCGGGCCTGCGGCTTTGATTTGTTGCGCTCTTCTTTCTGCAGCGCTCTCTTCTTAGCATGACGCTCTCTTCTCTGCGTGGCGCTCTTAGCGCTTTCTTCTTCCCGTGGCGCTCTTGACGCCCTCTTCTCTCGCTGCGCTCTTGGCGCTCTCTTCTTCCCGCGGCGCTCTTTGCGCCCTCTTCTTCCCGTTGCACTTTTGCGCTCTCTTCTTAGCACGACGCTCTCTTCTCTCTTGGCGCTCTCTTCTTCCCGTGGCGCTCTCTTCTTCCCGTGGCGCTCTCTTCTTCCTGTGGCGCTCTCTTCTTCCTGTGGCGCTCTCTTTTTTCTCGTTGCGCTCTTGGCTCTCTCTTCTTCTCGTGGCGCTCTCTTCTCCCCGCAGGGCTCTTTGCGCCCTCTTCTTCCCGTTGAGCTTTTGCGCTCTCTTCTTAGCACGACGCTCTCTTCTTCCCTTGGCGCTCTCTTCTTCCCGTAGCGCTCTCTTCGTAGCGAGGCGATCTTTGCGCTCTCTTCTTCCCGTGGCGCTCTCTTCTTTCCTGGGTGCTCTACGCTCTCTTCTTTCCGCACTCACTCGGCGCTCTCTTCTTAGCGTAGCTCTCTCTTCTTTCCAGGGCGCTCTCAGCGCTCACTTCTTTGCGTGGCGCTTTCTACAATCTACTTTCCGTAGCGCTCTCTTCCTCTGTTCTCTTCTATCTAGCGCGTACAACCCACCTGCAATTCTAATATTTTATTTATTTTTTATTTTTTCCTTCTCGACCTGTCTGTCACGTATTTCGTTCCTCCGTTTACTAGCTCTCTGTGTCATTTTCTCCTACACGTTTCTGCCCGGTTCCGTACTATCCTCTCCCTCACTTATTCTCCCGTCCTTTTTACGTGTGTGTCTTGGGTTTTCTTTCATTCCTCCCTCCCCTCTTTCTCTCATCCACTCTCCCTCCCCCACCCTCACTCTCCCTTTCTAACCTCACGCTCTCTCCCTCTCTCACCTCACCTCCCCCTCTCCCCCTGTCTTTTCGCTGTACCTTCCTGATACTCTTTTTTCTTCTTCCCCTCCACCCCGCCCAGCGCGCTTCCTGGGTTAGTTTGCTTGCGCGCGTGCGTGCGTTGTTGTGCTGACGAGCGCCCGCGTGCCCGCCAGGTGCTGAAGATGTCGATCGCGAAGCTGCGCAAGATCGAGGACCCCGAGAGCTGCCTGCGGCGGTCGGTGCTGGTGAACAACACGATGAAGCGCCTGCAGCGCGAGGCGCGCGAGGAGAAGTTGAGCAAGCAGCAGCAACAGCAGCAGCAGCTGCTGCTACCGCCGCACCGCCAGGCGCCCGCCCCCGGCCCCGCGCCCGCCGCGGGCAAGGAGAACGCCCGCCCCTCCCGCAAGAGGCCGCTCGACGACGTCGACGACTGCGACGTGCAGGTGAGCCTCCCTCGCCGCCGCGCCGCCGCCGCACGCGCTCCGACTCGCGTGCGCACATAGGTTCGCACGCGTGTGCGCACGAGCACGTAGGCTCGCACGCGTGTGCGCACGAGCACGTAGGCTCGCACGCGTGTGCGCACTAGCACGTAGGCTCGCACGCGTGTGCGCACTAGCACGTAGGCTCGCACGCGTGTGCGCACGAGCACGTAGGCTCGAACGCGTGTGCGCACGAGCACCTAGGCTCGAACGCGTGTGCGCACGAGCACCTAGGCTCGAACACGTGTGCGCACAAGCACGTAGGCTCGAACACGTGTGCGCACAAGCACATAGGCTCGAACACGTGTGCGCACGAGCACGTAGGCTCGGACGCGTGTGCGCACGAGCACGTAGGCTCGAACACGTGTGCGCACGAGCACCTAGGCACGAACGCGTTTGCGCACGAGCAAAAACACTGGTGTGCGCACGAGCACGTAGGCTCGAACGCTTGTGCGCACGAGCACATAGGCTCGAACGCTTGTGCGCACGAGCACATAGGCTCGAACACGTGTGCGCACGAGCACGTAGGCTCGGACGCGTGTGTGCACGAGCACGTAGGCTCGAACGCTTGTGCGCACGAGCACGTAGGCTCGGACGCGTGTGCGCACGAGCACCTAGGCTCGAACGCGTGTGCGCACGAGCAAACACACTGGTGCATGCACAAGCGCACACATTCGAACGCGCGTGCACACAAGCACAGCCGCTCGAACACGTGTGCGCAAGATCACAAACAATTGAACGCGCGTGCGCATAAGCACACCCGCTCGAACCCGTGTGCGCACGTGAACGCACACTCTAACACACGCGCACACAAACGCTCGAACGCTTGTGCGCACAGGCACATCCGCTCGAACACACGTGCGCACAAGCATACCTGCTCGAAAACGCGTGCGCCCGAGCACGTGTACTCCTGTGCGCATAGGCACACCCGCTCGAACACGCGTTCACACAAGCACACCTGCTCGAAAACGCGTGCGCACGAGCACATTTACTCGTACTTGCGTGCGCCAAAAAACACGCATTCACGTGCGCACATTCACTCGGACTCGCACGGACATACACGCGAGCATGCACACGCTCTCGAACACGCGTGCGCACCGGTAATCACGCTCGAACACGTGTGCGCACGAGTTCACACGCTCGCAATCGCGTGCACACGAGGACAATCGCTCGTAATCGCGGAGGCTCACGCGGGCGCACGAGCACACACACGCGCTCGCGTGCGCAGAAGACACGCGCGGACTCGCGTGCACAAGCATGCGCAAACGCTCGAACACGCGTGCGCACGAGCACGCAAACGCTCGCACACGCATGCGCACAATCACACACGCACTCGTAACTGAATGTGCACGAGCACACTCGGAGGCGTGCGCACAAATGCGCACACACACACATTTGGTCAAGTACACACATGCATTTTAACCCGAGTAGACACACATTTAAATAGGCGCGCACCCGAGTACACACTCAATTTTTTTTTTATTATATGCGGTCTGTGGGGCGGTACTCCGGGGGTAGGTACCTGGAAGGGGGTAATCCTGCAAGCCGACATGTAGATCGACGTTGGATTTACTTTGGCGACTGGTAGGAACACCACCTTCCAACTTCCATATTTTTACATGCCCTCGTGCACGTTTAACCCGTCTCCACTCCGGCCAGTGCGGCCGTTTAATCGAGCTGCGTGGCTGTTGCTGGTAGCGATGCGACTTCGATGTCGATGTTTTCAAACTATCGATGTTTTAATAAAAATATCAATGTATTGCAGATGTTTTTGAAAATCGATGTTTTGTGGTCGATGCTTTTCGTTTAGTAGTTTTTCAAGGTAAGGATAAAAAATTCCCACAACCACAATTACTTAAAAGTTGAAATACGAAATAATAACCAATTGCCCCTACTGTTTTATGTGTTCGAACTAACGCGGCTTGTTGTACCTTCATCGAGCAGACTATCCGTTACCCGAGATGATTCTAATATCGTAGTGATTACTTCATAATTCACACATGGAAAGGCGGTTTTTAACATCGATTTCCCTTATCGCTTAATCAGAAATTAATATACACGGCCACCGACATTTAAGAGCGTAGGCTTCCGCGGTCGGAGTCAGTATTTACTACGCTGTCCGGGTGACGCCGCGTCCATGGCGAAGATGCCGACGTTTCGGTCGCCATTTGCCATGGACCTTTGCCATGCCAACGTCGGCACCTTTGCCATGGACGCGGCGTCACCCGGACAGCCTAGTAAGTACCGACAATTAAGTTTTTGTTGCTAACGAATTTGATGTTAGAGGTTAATAAACCAGCTAGGCAACGTTGATATTGAAAAACGTCGCCGTTGTGAGTGGATGTCTTCACCACGGGGGTCTGTTTCAGGACGTGCTGAGCCAGTTCTACATGCCGCCCACGCCGCGGATGCTCACCTCAATCGACGACGACCCCGAGGAGCTGTCGTCGCCGCCGCCCCCGACGCCGTCAGCGGTGGCGGAGGCGGAGGGCGATGTGGACGCGCCCACCCCGGCGAAGAGGCCCCGACCCTCCCCGGCGCCCGCGCCCGCGCCGCGTCACGCCGCCGACGACGATGACGACGACCCGCTCGCCATGCTCTCCAGCGAGGACCTCGCCGACCCGCAGGTACGTGCTCGTCTTCTTTTCTTGTTCCCTTCTCTTCTCCTTTTCTTTCTTTTCTCTTCTCTTCTCTTTTCTTTTTCCCTTCTCTTCTCTTCTCCTTTTCTTTTTTCCTTCTTTTTTCCTTCTCTTTTCTTCTCTTCTTTTTTCCTTCTCTTTTCTTTTTTCCTTCTCTTTTCTTTTTTCCTTCTCTTTTCTTTTTTCCTTCTCTGTTCTTCTCCTTTTCTTTTTTCCTTCTCTGTTCTTCTCCTTTTCTTTTTTCCTTCTCTGTTCTTCTCCTTTTCTTTTTTCCTTCTCTGTTCTTCTCCTTTTCTTTTTTCCTTCTCTTCTTTCTTTCTTTGTTAACGTGTCTGCGGAAAACGAGATTCGGTGAAAGAAGCACAATTAGAGTAATTTGCAATTGCACCTCTCAACCTATCTTTTACGCGGGTGTCCTTCTCCGTTAAGTTTCGTCTCCTGCCTCGTTATGTCGCGGTCTGTCATTGAGGGACTGGGCGCCGTTAGTAACTGGGATAGCCAGACGGTCACCCATCCAGTAATCCGTGAAGACCCGAATTGCTTAACTTCCAGGACTTTACCGATCGTATTTAAGCAAATCTGTTCCCTCGAAACTAGTTTCATGGCGCAAAGTGCGGGATAGCTCTTCTTATTTTTTTTATTTAAACCAGTGTTGCTGACATGTTTATGTTTGATTCGCGTTTTCCGATATGAAGAATTCTCGAAATCTGAAGAGGCAGTTTAATAATATAAATGAATTAATTTAAATAAATGCCAAAATATCAGTTTTCGAGATATTGAATAAACATGTTCAAATATTTTAGCGAGTAGGTGAAGAGATTTGACAGAGAATCGATAATTATAATACTAATGATGATGATAATGAAAATATGGTGATGTGGTTGAAAGACCTGATATTTAAAGACGATGACCTATAGATTTAGGGGATAAACGACGCTTACTTGGGCCATTGGAGATTAAAAAGTACAGGATTTGTTAAGAGTGCATTGTAGTTTACATAGAATTAATAAGGGGGAAGGTTAAATTGCATTTCAAGTAATCGTTTCTTTCCTGTTCCAGGATGTGGACATGACGCTAGCGCTCCACGCGGCCGGCCTGTCAACCCGCGTGGGCGGAGACGCTGCCGACCCGGCGCCCGCCCCTGCGACGGAACGGCCCTTCTGGGCACCCTCCCCGGCGTCCGTCCCCACGTCCGGCGCCAGCGGCAGCGACCCTATCGGCGCGGACCCACACTTTTCGTGCGGCCACTCGTCCATCTTCGGCGAGATCCAGTCGGTGGTGTACCACAGCTTGATCGCGTCATTGGAATCGTAGCCGCTGATTGGCCGGCAGCGGTCCGCCATTGTTTGGCGGAACATACGAAGACGGGAGGGCGGCTCGCGGGACCGTTTGCAAAAGCGGAAAGATGAAGACTCATCTTTCCAGAGACATTATGTTGTACAAACGTAACGGTGTGAATGGTTCACGAAGCACAAACCACTTTTTCTTCTTTATAACGAATTGATTCTAGTGAAAGCTTTGCATTTAGTCTGAAATGCAAGAGATAAAAACGCTTTTGGAGGCTGCTATCAAAAGTGATCAGTTACCAGTTTGCGCCTCGTGAAGTGTGTTGTTGATATTTAATTTCATTGAATTTTTGAAGGCTCCACTTGAAACCTTTGGAACTGGGTCTTAACAATCCCACAAAACAATGAAAGGGAGTGGTGGAAATATTAAATTTCCCCCCTTTTTTAGAATTATTCTATCGAGAAAAAATGTGCATTGCAGTGATCTGCAAAGAAGAATGACTCTTTCACTTTTAACAAACTTTCAAAGAAATACAAAGTGATATTGCTAATTGTATTAATTCTTCTATAGTCAGAGTGCAGCATTTTTCTTAAAATCAAGATTGAAGACAGAATAACAGTAAAGAACTGTTGTGTTAACTTTTCCAGAGTTCTTGAAATGTGAAATGAGTGTCATATTCATCAGTGGTTGTTTTGTAGTGCGAATGAATGGTGCAAATTTAAAATAGATTTTAACTGTGTTTTTAATTGTTTCCATTCTTGTTCTGACTGACTTTGTGTTATTGGATCCAGGTGCACATTAATTTAAGAGAAATCTTTCACAAATTAAGTTGTTTCTGAAAAGGTTCTCGAAACTTGTTGCATTGTTGGAAATTCTAATAGAACCTTCAAAATATATTTGGTATTGATGTCATCACAGCTATATAATCTATTACTTTTCTCTTATTTTAATACACTGTTTGTCTTAATATGAAAAATGTTATTGAAACCTAATGACAAAGTATGTTTTTGTTTGATTGAGCACCAGTTATACAGACCTGATATATGAACAAATACAACTCAATATTTATTTTCTTCAATTAATATAATTTTTCTTCTAAAAATTTGAGTGAGGAAATGGAGATTTAATTAACACACTGTTGGAAGGTGTACTCTAGTCTTTGTGTTTCCATTCCCTGCTATAAAGCCTTATTTTAATTTAGGGTTGCATTCTATAATTATTAAACACTTTAAGCTTCAGCTCATTTATTGAAACAACTTATGCAGTTTGTAGAAAAGATCAGACTAGCCAGAAGCATTGTTTAAATGGCTGTGAAGAAATAATAATTAAAAAAAAAACTATACTTTGCCAAGTGGCCAAATGATCTGAACATCAAACTGCTTTGATTCAGTGTAGTGATACTTTCTGCACTTGGTGAAGCACTTTCCTCTTGTTTGTGATGTGCATCTGGATATCTGGTATGTTTCTAGCATTTTGCTATCTTGAGTTAACAATGTATGACAATTCGGGATGTCCAGTCTATTATTTATTTATGTAATCATAAACATATTGTTGACTAAGAACCTGCAGAGGGAAATTACCTGTCAAACAAACATGAACACTTTTATCCTCCCATAGCTGTCTCTTATTTTTTCCAACTAGCTATATTTACTCCAAATTCAGCTTTTAATTTGATCTAAGCTTTGAATTTTTTTACATGTTGGTTTTCGTTAACAGTTTTTTGTTCTGAAAATTTTTAAGATTTTAAATGAATGACTTAACCTTACTTGGAAAGTGAGTGTGATTTAGAAGTTCATTGAAGTGTCTTAAATAAAAAATTTATTCATTCATTCTTCACATGCTGTTAAATCTACAAGAATGATTGTTGATTTTTTTCATATATAAAATATATGAAATCAGAAATAAAAATTAAGTTAGTGAGCAAAAGCAGAATTTCCATTAAAAGAACAATGTTTCAAGTCATTCGGCATTTCTCAGATTGTTGCTTTACTTTAAAAAATATTTGTGTTATTCATACATTGCCCTTGGGTGAGGGAAAATTTTCTTTTTCAACAATACCAACCTGTAATGTTTTTACTGAGGCAGATTTTGGAAGTAAAATCATTTTATTTACATGTCATAATACAAGCAATCAAAAAAACTAATAATTTTCAATATTGTAATATTTTGTTCTCTGAAAGAATAATGGAATGGGCATTCCAATCCTTATCAATGTAGTGTGCTTTTTACCAAATATCTGTGATATTGTTTTTGCTAGAATTTGTCCTCCTTAAAATTTGGTGCTTTTTCAATGCAGAACAAAGTATTCTTGTTTTTATATGAAAAGTTGATACCTACTGAAACAATTTTTACTGAGGTATTTGTCTGTTGGTGATCACAAAACAACTTGTGTTGTTTGATGAGAGATCTGGTAAAATGAAGAAGGCTTTGTTCAGATGCATTGTGTTGAATTGTATTTCTTGTGAACCATCTTTGATAGAACTTAATTATTCACAGAAAAATTCTGGAGTTGTCTATTTGTCAAACTTTTCAAAGTTTTAGAAATCAGTCAGATGATACCTTTACATCTATTTCTTTAAATTATTTTTGGCAATAAATGAGTCAATTGGAATAAGTCAATATGAATTAATAAAAAAAAAACATGGTAATGATTGAAAGAAAATGACCTTTAGTAACACAGTCAACAAAAGTTCCAGATGTATCTGTGAATATAGAATAATATGCAGTTCAAGAGTCAAATTTAATGTACTCCTGCAATAGATAAATGGGGGGTTTTCAATTATCAGTGGATATCTTAAGAATGTGTGTGCCCTACAGAGTATTTAGTGGTCTAACATTTAGCAAGGCTGAACTGTCAATTGTTTTTCATCCGTCTGCCTTCCTTCCTTTCTTCTTTCTATGAGTGGATGTGAGCATGTCCGTTCTGAATTAAGTCTGTTAACTGTCCACAACGTAAAATAAAATTTTCTACATTTCTCTTTCTCCCCCCTCCCTCTCTTAAAGTAGTCACAAAGCTTTAAAAAAAACATGAGAGTTCAAAGTACTTATAAAAAAGGTAGAGTAAGTATGGAATGAAATGACCCATTTGCAGGTTTGCAGACAGGTTTCTATGTGTGTTGGACCTTCAAACTATGCTCACTTTGGTAATATTTAAAGATATTTTGTTGCCTGAAAGAACATTTTAGGTGTTATTTTTCAATTGGTGAATGTACAAAAATCGTGCTCTTTATCTCCTCTCCCCTCCCCTCATTTTATTATTATTATCTTCTTCCTCTTCCTTGTTTTCCTAATAACTGTCCTTCAATGGTTTTTTTGGATTAGGATTGTATATGATGAGAAGTTGCAAAGATTTCAATCGTTTTCATGACGAAACTGTTTGGCATTCTGAGGATGCACAAATATATAGTGCCAATTATCTGGATGTGTGCCATAAAGAATCGGAAGAGAAATGGCTGTTAAAGAAGTGAGGCATTGTCTGTGGCTTAGCAAGTGGGTCATCTTTCCTCTGCAGGATGGCAAACAGGGACTACAGTTGTTAATCCGTGCAGCAAGAAGTTGCCAATTTATCCCCTCGTTGGGGATCTCGCATTGTCAAGTGCATTTGAGGTCTTAGCTATCTAAGCAGAAGGTGTTGATTTATTTGCTCTCTTTAATAGGAATGTACTAATTGTCAAAATTGATTTGCTTCTTTATTCTATTGGATATTTTATTTTTTATTCCTTCATTGGTGTGAATTATTGTTTTAATCCAAACTCTTCCTTACCAATCTTCACTTAAATTCATTTTCAATAAAATTGAAATTTTTGTTCTCAATGAAGCACTAGTCCACCTTTGTAAATTTAAATACTTGCATTCATTAATTCAAAAATGCAAGTTACAACTTCCCTTAGAGATTTGTCTGAATAAAGATATGTTCTTGAAATTTCTGTTGTTAAGTTTGTGTTTGACGATTGTAATTAGTTTTCAATGATTTTAGTTTATTCTGTTGTTTGTTTTTCCCTTCCTTTGATTTTTTCTTACTAATACACTTTTGTAATATGTAATCCATTTGTCTTGTTTTCTCAAGTCACTAAATTTTCTTCACTTAAACCATAAACTTTTGATCATCACCTTCTATGTCTTCAAAGTGCCTTTTGTAAGCAAAAATAAAATAAGAAATGGGAACAAATTCTGCCAAAAAAATCATATGTGGTTGTCTCTGCTGACATCCAAAAGGCAATGGTTCACAATACAAGAAAATACAAAGGGGAAATCTGGCCAAATTCACCCTTTCTGCCACCTGCAGTTTTTGTCAAAATTGCTTTTGTAGATCTGATATAAATTGATAAAGGAAATATCGTGATTTTTAATAATGTTGTAGGTTTTGAGAAGTGTTTTAAAAAATTTAAGATCGTTGCAAGGTGCATATCTCTCTCTATATATATTTACTTGAATAGACACACACTTATGCCATATATGTATATGATGTAAGTACATTCATAGATTAATGTATGCTCCAAGATTTACAGTAGGAATTTTTGTACAGTGTACATGTGTTTGAAAAAATACTTAATAAGAAAATTGATAGAATTGTGTAATTTAAAAGAGAAAATTGTGAAAAATTATATTTGTATGCCACGTAACTAATGAGTGCATGGAATGTCGAAGTTCAAAAAGAAGTGTTTTAATATACCAAAAACTGCCAAGAAATATCAATAATAATCGAAGACAATTTACAGCATTGTGCTCACTTAAAATAATTTGTTTATTGACTTTGTTACCTACTCAATAATTTGAGTGTGGGAACTGAAAAATGACTGTCCAAATGTTTTTCTTATTTCATCTTCCCTTTGAACAGACTTTTAATACTTTATTTAATTAATTTATCACTGACTGCACCAATTGTGTTTTTGTATGAATGTGTCTTTTATAAAGATGTCCAGGAAGTGTTCATTTATGTTATATCGTACATAGTCATTACTTACAGCTAACATGAAACTTCGAGTTTTATTTATTTATTGTACATTCTGATAAAGTATTAAAATATAGGGGGATGTGACTGCTTGTTGCTTTTGTGATAAGAATTTTATGAACGTTCCATCTGCAATAAATTGTGTTTTTAACATAATAACACACTTAAATGTGCACAAGATTTAATAACTTTTTGGGATGAAAATTAATAAATTTACAATAGAATTGAATTTAATACAAAATTAATGATTTGATTCTTATTAACTCTGCTGAATGAATTTGAATTGTTACTCTGTGCAATTTGTAGGGAAGTATTCATAAGGTAAATCATCCCAGACTTATTGAATAGTTTGAATTTAACTTAGTGAAAATTTGTACACTTTCTTGCAAAAATCAGTTGCATAGGAGACTTCTATCTATTTTTTTTTCACTGATTGTGTATTGTAGAAAAAACTTAATGTGTGCATTAAGACAATGCGTTAATACAATGAGATTCTGCACTAAGCAACAAGGTTATTCCCCAACCCTTCCGTTAACACACATCTTTAAAGAGCTGTGTGTTTCACTCTGAGAAGCAAACTTTTTGGTGAGAGAGGATGTCTTGTGAGACATAAGTTGATGCACTCTCTGTGGGTTTAGGTTGCAGAGATTAGTACTTTTTCATCCAACACTATGCCACCTGTGCATAAAAAGAATCATCTCTGCTCCTGACCTTACCTCATGAAATGTCACGACCATTCTGGCTTGGTTAAACGGTATAAGATTTTGTGGTCTGTAGGAGGTAAGTGCTTGATGCAGCAAAGTTACAATTTGTGTACTTTTGCAGCTGAAAGCACTTTGCCTTCGCTTGTAAATGAGTTGTTTTCATTTTTATATGAAAGGTATATATATATAATAACTGTATAACCAGATATTTTATAATGTCATTGTTTGTATAGTAAAGTCAAATTGTACTTTTTTTCTGTAGTTAGTTATTGGAAGAGCGTGTGAAACTCATGGTTTTCACATCTTCCATTCTTTCTTTCATGACTGAACTGTCCTGTTTTGTATTTAACTTGGTTACAATTGTTTTCATTGGGTTGTGAAGAAGCATAGAAAATGCAAGAAAAAAAAATGGAAATGAAGTGCTTTGTATTTATAATTTTAAGGTTCGTGTTTTTGCTTGTTGGGCTGTTTATGTTTTTGCAGATTATTTTCACTAATTTTTTGCAAAATGTTTGTTACGGAAGTTGCCCATTGAATTTAATGCTGAATTTGTACATGCAACTGAGAGTGAGAACACTCGTCTTATGGTTTTTCTGTGACAAATTTTCCTTTTCGTCACTTTGTGTTATATGGAAATCAACATAACATTAATTTGTTAAATCAGTAGATTGACTCTTGCTTTGCTACACTTTTTGATTTTGTTCAGACTTTACTTTTCTTTAATAATTCTCTTGCTTTTCAAAATTCAACTGAACATTATGAGAATACAATTTTAAAAAATATTTATTATGGCATTACATGATTAAATAGACTTTATCGTTGATTCTTTGATAACAAATTTTTATTATCAATTGTACAAGTAAAACTAGAAAGGAGAAAAGTTGTTGGATTAACATTAAATTGCTCTACATCTTCAGCAGAACTGTGGGCATGGAAAGAGTGAATGAATCAGCAGCAAACAGTATTTTGTTTTGCTTAGTAATAGTGGCATCACGGAAAGCATGACTGATGCCCTATCATACAAGACTTAAAATTACAGGAACATGAATTTCAAATGAGAACCAATTAATTATTCAAAGGGGAAAGCTGTGAATCATAGCACAATGTTAGCATTCTGCGATGTTTAAAGAGTTTGCAAGAGTATGTATAATCTGCTGTATACTTGACAATTACCTTCTTTCATAGTTTTTGTGCATTTTGTTCCTAACAAAGAGGATGATAAAATAATTTAATATTCAATTTTCATTCCTATTTGTGGCAAAAGAGATTAATACACCATGATTTTTAAATTGCAACATTTTGTTCTGAAAGTGCTTGTTAGAGAATGTTCAAAAAAATATCTGATTTCACAGTATTAAAGAGTTAGCTGAATAGCAATTCGTGTTGCTAGTTGGCTTGCTGAATTGAGTATTTGACATTCTTATTTCTTAGTATAACTGTTGCATTTAAATGTTCTATACAAACTCTTGTAGACCTCAAAAAAAAAGTGAGTACCCACCCAGTCAACTCTTTGATTTTGTATGAGTCAATTTTAAAACATGATGAAAGACGCTGTTGCCAATTCATCTTGCAAATTCTGGTATTCAGAAATGCTTTTGAGTTTTACTTCACACATCTGCCACAATACAACATATACCATGATTGTGCAAGATGTAGTATAGCATCAGATGTCTTTCTGCAGTAAATGAATTCCATGTGTGCATGCCCAATGATGAGATGGAGGAAAGATTGTAAAAAATATAAATATATAAATATATATCTCTTTTTGAAGCAATGTACCTATATATTATATATAAACTTGCTTGGCATTTTTTTATTTTATCATATAAATAATAATGATAATAATATATACACACATACTCATAGAGAAGTGTTGCCACCTGTTGAAAAACCAAACCCTGTGGTTACCGAGCAAGGAGGGAATAATAAAGTACCTGAGAAAAGTGATAAAACATTTTTCATTACAGTTGCAAACCTTTGCCTCACTATTCAACATCCTTCTCAAACGTGGGAGAAGCCTTCAAACCAGATGACCTGTGTTGATCTATTGAATGGATAAGTAATTCAAATGAGCCAAATTAAGAAGGATTCTCCCCTTTTAATCAAATCAACTGAACTTTTTTACTCATTTTATGTTTAAAAAAAAGGTTTAAAAAACTGTGTTTGACATGCTAGGGTGAGAATTCTCGGATTTCTACCTTACAAAAGTTGAATTATGAATATAGAAAGAAATGAGAGTTTTTGGCAAAGCTGGATAAAAAAATATTTGATCTGCAACATAATCTCTTAAGATCAAATCAGCTATAGATTTGGGCTTTTATTCTTCATCGTATCCTTTGTGAAGGAATATACAGTACCTGGCCATATTATTAGACGCACTCCAAATTTTTAACAAAATGTTAAGTTTTGAAATCTCTCACTGCACTACATTACATCTGGCATTATTGCGAATCGATCAATAAAAACAAAGCGTTTTGTAATAATTAACACATTATTTGTCATTATGTACCATTGTTGGAACACCTCATTGTTGCTTATACGCACAAATTACAAGAGGTAACATGAGTAGTGTGTTGTTGCACGAAGATAGTTTATTTTCCATTTCTTAGTTTGTGAAACAGTTACAGCCGTGTTTATTTTAAAAATGTGAATTGTATACGAAAAACTGCTTGTTTTGAATAAAAATAATGGGAAAGGCAAGTGATTTGTCTCCTCGGAAGATCGCAGCAGTGAAAGCTCTTTTCGACACAGAAAATTATTCAAATCGTGAGATATCTCGAAGGTTGAACGTATCCGAGACATCTATTCGGCGAATTAAGAAAAAAAATTGTCCTTGGTGAAGAATTATCCCCACGAAGGTAGAACACATATGGACGAAAGATAATATTTTCACCAATATCTGAGAGATGTTTGAGGAAGATTTGCCATGAAAACCAGTTTGCTACTACTAAACAAATTAAATTTAAATTGGAAAGTAATGGAATCTGTGAATCTGAAAGGACACAACATTTGAAAAACAAATGAATAAAGGAAAACCCATTCTATGTCATCTTAAACAGTGCAATTAGCACTATCTGTTGGAAAAGTTTGAAGAAAAAATTTGGAGCCGTTTAAGAGAAAATGGTGTTTGAGCGTTTCTGAAAATGCGGAATTTCGAGTTCATTTTCACGGAAAATTGATGAGCTTTCGGGAAACTTTATCTTACATTATTTAAAGCACAAGTACTCATAAATACATTACAAGTTCATTAATGTAAAGAAATTGCCGCTAATGTAAATATTAACGACGTGAGAGACGAGTCAAGAAAATTAAATGTTTGTAATTTTTGGAAAAAACAAAAGAATATAGTAATATGGAGTTTATGTCATATTATAGAGTGCCTTTAGCCCAATCCGTACCAAAAGTTAAAAGAAAAAAATTGAAGATGTTTAAAGAAAATATTTTTTTATTAAAGATTGCACACATTGCTCGCAATATTGCACGAAAACGACTAAAGTTTTTTTTAAAAAACCTACATGATCTTAATGAAAGCACTCACGATGGAGAACAAATTTTATTTGAAGGAAAAATCTCTATCTTTAATTTTTTAGTTGTAGGAAGACACCGCAAAAATTCATACTTTTGCAGATTTCAAAATTTTAGAGTTAACCGTGAAAATCGGACCTATGCTACTTAAATAAGTGTATATTACTCTATTCTTACAAGAAATTTTTAAAAAAATTGTAGCCGTTTTTGAGAAAATTTTGAAAATGTCCTTTTTGTAAAGATTTGTCTAAAGTACCCCAAAATTTTGAAGTTCTTTTTCAGAATCTCAAAGATTCGACTAGAGCCAGATGGATAGGGGTTTCTTCAATTTGGGAAAAAATCCTACGCATGGTTTAGGTGCTAGTACACCAGACACCAGGCGGACGGTCGGTGAGACAGCCTGATTGACGGACGGACAGACGGAACGATTTGGAAAGAAAAAGAAAAAAGAAAAGGAAAAACCTACTCGGTATCAGGGAAACCAAAATGTGTATTTCCGTTGAAATCTCGAACTCAATTTTCCGCAGCATTACAAAACTTTCCCTACACTACGTATATTACTCTGTATATACGTACGCATACGGGACAGTAAAAATACAAAACATTTTTTTTAAATTGTCATGTTTATCATTACGCTGCAACTTGCATATTTTATACAAACTCATTCAACAATTTCTGCAAGTCTATTTTGTAGGTCATGATGCTATAAACATGTAAAATCGCAATACTGCTGAGCCAATCTTGCAAACCAGTTCATCTCGTATACTATTGGAGTCGATGCAATACTTCGTTAATTACTTCATAAACTAAGTTCATTTCTGGAATTTGAAATATATTTTTATGAAATATTTATCACACATCAAATCCCGAGTGAATCACCCCAAGTTTCGACACACTTAGAATTTTTCGTGTGGGTATAGCTACCCACAGTATCCATCGGGCCTGCCTGTTCGTGCACCTATACTTTATCTTAAAATAAATGTTAAGGAATATAAATGATAAAAAAATAACACATTGAGAAATAAAACTATAGTAATGTGCAAATAGTCACACTAATTTAAAGTCAACAAATCAAAACACCTTTGAATGTCAAGGGCCAATAAAAAATAGACAAGAAAGAAAATTTTGCTTTTTCTACCCATCTTTCCCTTCAACTTTCAACAAAACTTGACATTTTGTAATGTGCGAAAACCTTACAATTTTCGTTCCGTTTCGCATTACCTCCAAAATTAAAACATCTTAATGACCTCCGGTGCGACACAATTAGATCTTCCTCCTGACTTACCGAGTATACGCAAGCTGGGAGTGCTAACCATTTTTGTAAGAAAGTAATCTGAACTTCCAAAGTGTTAAAATAATGTAGGGAGTCGATGTTAATAAGAATGTCCAGATCACATTTGTCTCCAAAACACCCAATGCTCATCATATGAAGAATCCGCCAAAGGGTATTAAATCGCTTGTAGCTACCTGTATTCATAATTCAATGAACGAATGTGAGCAACGCTATCTACAGTAGATGACATTGATATGAGCCAAGGACGAGATCTGAGATCTGAAGAAAACTTGCAAAAATAGCGCAAATAACAATATATATATATATATATATATATATATATATATATATATATATATATATATATATATATATATATATATATATATATATTGCACCGCACGTACAAAATCCTGTACATAATAAACACTGGCATACTACATCACATTGTACCTTATTTCTTGAAGCCAATTATTAACATTCCGAGTTCTTAAGCATTTATTGTACGGTTTGTCAACGTTCACTGAAGTCAGATGACTGACCGTAGTACAGTATCCCGTTAATACTTTATCACTATCAATCATATCGGGAAAAGTATCATTCCACGTCAAATCACATAAATCTAAGGAAAATTTGTGCGCTTTGATGGGCTATATTTTTAAGCTTTTTTCTGCGTTACAAATTGCGTGAGCGAAAATATGAACAAACAATTATCATTTTTCAATTTAGTTTTTCAGACTTATTATTTAATATTTGAAGTTTTTGAAAAAATAGTCGTATCGCCAGAGTTGATCGCTTGTAACAAATTTTATAATTGTGATAAAATTTTAATATTTAGCAACATTAAAGAACAAAACACGCTCGTTCAAAAGCGTGTGTATTAATTCCATAAAATATTCAAAGCGATTTTTTGCTGTAAAATAAATATTATAAGTGTATTACACAAGAATATATCTTATAGGCTAATTTAAGTCTGTAATACAAATACAAACGACGAGGGAGATAAAAAAAATTTGTGAAATTTTGACAAATCAAAAGATTACACCAACACGGACTTTATTTCATGTTATTTGTACTTTTAGCTCTATCCATACAAAATGTAAAGAAAAAAGTGCTTTGAGATTGTCGTTTCTTGTTTTGCTCCTGGACATGAATGTTGTTGAACTCTGGACGTTAAATTTTGTTGAACTCTGCTTTTGCTTGTAGTGGTAGGAGTAGAGGTAAGGGTGAGTTACTATTTTGTTAGCAATGTACAAAAACAAATCAGCAGTTAGTTTACCGTTGCAAATAAGTTTTCGGTAACTCGGGAACGATAGTGTCTAGTTTTTCAAATGTTCCTAATCTCGCGCTTTTTTCAATTTTATTTTTATTTATCTTAAGCTTTTACTTATCCTTCAACTATTAGAGTTAAAATGATAGGAAGGGGTTCTGGAACTCAAGAAAAGGTACGCAGATCTTCTCCCCCATACGTCACAAACAGTTTTTACGGTTTTTTGACTAAATAAATCGAATCTAAATCTAAATCAAATCAATAGTAGTCGCTAATGACCTTAGATGTTTGTAAAGCGACCTAAATTAAATAAAATAAAAAGCCGCAATTTAACGTTATGATTTTCGCGTGTTATTGAAAGAACACAAGTTCAGTCAATTCTTGACGTCGTTGTACGCATTACGATGTTTGGGGAACTTATTTTCATTTCATATTACGTTTCTTGATTCAAAATGTATACAGGAGTTTGTGAAAACTGCAACAACCAGAAGGATCGGTCGGAATCATTAAAAAATCGGTGAATGTGTAGAACAGTGTATCCATAATAAATAATTAAATTTGCATAGAGATGGCGTGCACGTAGGCCAAGCAGTGCCCTCCTTTGTGTGACAGGTTAGGTCAGCCAATTTCCGTCGGAGCATAGCCATCAAACGACGTGGAAACGTGCAAGCAAATGCCTGTATGCCTCGTCGACGCCAAAGGGCGCGATATCAGCATCTGAATGAGTTCGAACGGTGCAGAATGATCGATGACCGGAAAGCGGGTTTATCGTACAATGACGTTGCGGCTCGAACGGGGCGCGCTGCTACGACAGTGATGCGTGTGGTGAACCAATGGACAGAGGAAGGTCGTACGCATAGACGAGCTGAAACTGGACCG